GAGACATTTCCCCCACGCCTCCAATGATTAGATTTCAACATTTCAACATACATATGCGTATGTATAGATATAACACCACCCGTATACATACATGTGTCATAGCCGAAACTGCCCACATATGTTTAGATATGTATGAGTCCCGACGGACGACCAAGTATGGATATGTGTCTGCATACATCGATGTTTGCGTTAGTACGATGAATGACAAAACGACGAAATTTCCCCCACCACTTCCACAATAACACCAATACACGCAATCTACATAAACCCAAATTTTTTAAAACATTAATCAGTTTGTCTGACGATCGCTAAAGCGTGAAACCCGGGGTCACAAACTCACATTTTTCACACACACACACACACACACACACACACACACACACACACACACACACACACATATATATATATATATATATATATATATATATATGAATAAAATCAAATGAATAAATATAAATTAATTTACGTGTAATTGTTTACATACAAATACATACATATATCCTTTGGTGTAAGTAAAACAACGCTTAATGCTAAATAACAGAGCTGTTACGTATATATATTTATATCCGGATAATCAAGTTTAATTAGAAAAGAACCGGCAAGGTCTGTCTGTTCAATTTTTTTAAAGAGTTTTTTCCAATTTTCGAATAATTTCCTGACTGTTGTGATCGAAATTGGGAATAAACTGTTTCAAGTAATTTCGAGTATCTCAGTCAATGTCAATATATATATATAATCTAAACATTTTAAAAAACTTAAATACATATAGAATTATGTACGTTTTTAATACATATGGTACGTGGCTGACAATGAGAATTGATCCAAACAAAAGTGAAAATAGCATAGTTCTGTATTTTTGTGTGTTTGCTCTCAATCTTTGACGGGATTTTAATAAAAGTGAAACAGGTTAGATTCATGTACGTTGACTATTTGTTCTTTATTTTATCACCCTGTTGGATTTCGATCTACATTTGATCTTTAAGTCATATATATATATATATATATATATATATATATATATAAATCAACTCTCAGGATCGACGGGCTGTTTCATACTAGACGCAATCGTCAGGAGGCGATTGCGTCTCGCATGAAACAGCCCGTCGATCCTGAGTGTTTTATATTTACGTACTCTCTATATTGAGCACTTTATTCCATAAATATAGCACACCTTAATACTATATTTCTTCATATTTCTCTCTCTCTCTCTCTCTCTATATATATATATATATATATATATATATATATATATATATATATATATATATATATATATATAAGGATGTGTGTGTAACGAATGCACGTCCGCAATTTTCACCTAAATTTACATGCGCATGCTCCAAGTTAGCGGGAAGGTCAAGACCGTCTTTGCATTTCCCAACTCCCATCGATAGTGGAAATAATCGATTTTTCATGCTTCTACGCCACTTTTTATGTAGTTTGCGGCCATTTTCTACTGGCCAGAGTGAGAGCTTATAGCTGGCTGCCACGAATAGGCAGGAAAATGCTACTGGCCAGCGTGAGAGCCAACAGCTGACTGATACGAATGTTAACTAGCAGGCAAAAATCGATAGCTGCATTCGTCACAAGTGGGAAAAAATTTGAATCTGCATGACACTTTACTCCAATTGGCTCATTCGCTTGCTTAAACTCAACGTTGATTCTGATTCCGCAGAACTGGGTTGGGTATGATAAAGTTTTGTTGTTAACATTTTTTTTCAATCTGTTTTTCCAGTTACGAGTCCTTTTTTAAAGCTGATCGTTTTGCGTTCATTTTCTTCAGTTCTTTTTTCGTAACAGATTTAATGTTTAGTATAGAGCTTAGAAAAAATTCGCAGTGTGAGATAGGCAAGAAGTAAGGCATGTAGTAACATCAGCACGGCAAAGGGCACTCCTTTAAAGGCAAGGAAGAGCAAAAATATTTGAAGTCAAGTGATAGCGATTGCTGTATGATTCGATGATTCGTACGATTTTTTAATTAAGCACGGGCAACGCCGGGCCATGCTGCTAGTATATATATATATATATATATATATATATATATATATGAGTAAGGTTTATATAGGTAACTATGATTAATACACACAAGTTTGATTAAAAAGTATCAACATGGTCTGTCTATTTATGTTTTTTTTTTTTTTGTATTTTTCCAATTTTTGGAATAAGTTGATTAGTTTTTTACTCCACGTTGCGGATAAACTGTTCGAAATTCATCTTTTGTTATTGTTTTGTTCAAACACTTTTGTCCAAGGCAGTCATCTTCCAGAACCAATCATTTGGCTACATCCTGATATTCTTTGGAAAGCAGGAACTATTTGCTATACCGTTGCGGTTCGTATAAAATCGTCAGAAGGCTGAATGAGGCCCGCGGCCCGTAGTTTGCCCAACACTGATTTCGAGTAAAATAAAAGTTAGGAAAATCTTGAAAGTCACGATCACCCACGTCCTGAAAGATCAGGTCGCGTCGAAAGAGGTAGAGATGGGTGCGAAGGAAAGAGATGATTTATACAAATCAAAGAACTTAATTAATCGTACGCCACATGTTGTTTACTCTCCTCCATCATTCGTAAACATCTGAGTTGTAGACAAAAAAAAAATTAACTTATTAGGAATATTTCTCTTTATTGCACATGTAAAAAACCTGTGTACAAGTCAAACCAAATAGTAATATATTGCGTTTTTTTAGCATCTTATATCTACAGAGATGTGACATAAATCAATGGATATCATTAGTTGACCGATATTTAAAATTTAATTACGGTATATTTAATAATAACTGAGAAAAGAATGCTGAACTGTTACGCAAATATCAGTCCTTATTTATGGCAGTAAATAATGGACAATTTCCTCACAGAGATTTGAGGCAACAGAAATATGATTCTACCGAAGGATACTGTGAATACTATGAACCGAGCATGTGAGTAACGATAAAGTTTTAAGGAAAAAGAAAAAATGGACGCTTATACTTAGAATCAGAAAAAAATATTCGAAATATCTAGGACATACCCGGAGGAAAGTGTGCTTTGTGAATTTGACACTCACAGTACATATTGAAAGCATAACGGATAGACGAAAACAGCGAGGAATCTAGCAAATAAACTTGAGTAAATCGATCGCAGAACAGCGACTAGGTATAATATAAAAGTTAGTAAGAGCAGCAAAGGAGAAGAAATCATGGCGAGCGATGATCGCCCTTGTCTTGAAGGGACACGGTAAATAAAAGATATCAAATAACAGCTGCAAAATTTTCCTTTAAACGCCAAGAGAAATTACTGAACGATGTCTCATGCTTCAGGCCCTTAAGAAATCTTACATGGCTAAAATTTAGATATTGTTTGTCAGTTCGAATGTTGAATAATCCGGTTCCATTTCTTTTACATTTAGAGGCATAAGTGTCTCTATTTTTGAGAAGGAAATTATTGCACTGCTAGAAAGCCATCTTTTTGAGTTAACTGGAAACATTAAATAAAATGAAATATACTTTGTAAGATAGCAATGAAGCAAATATATCACGAAATAAAAAAGAAAACATGAACGTGATATTTTCCTTGTTTGTGGTCATTAAAGAAACAACTTAACGACTGTTTATTGAACAAAAATATTCTACAAATAATGCAATTGGTAATTATTATATATATGATTATACATATTAGCTTAGAGATATGAGAAATTACATTAAGAAATATCCTCATTTTTGCAGCTTCCTACAAGAAAACCTATAGAGGGTAGTTAAGGAAAACGAGAAGAAAGAACTAAACATTAATTTTAATAAGACAGAATCCAAGAGGAACAGTTTAACACGCAAATTACAAATTAATGATAACGAAATAATTCAAGTAAAAGAATTTAAATATCTGATGCGACACCGAAATCCGAAAGCACATTGTGATTGCGAAAGAAGACTTTCAAAAGATAAGCAAAGTATTAAGAAATGGAAAAAAAAATCTTTAGAAACAAAAAAATAGCACTGAACTGTTGCGTAATAGCAGTTCTTCTATAAGGCAGTGGATGCAGGACAATCTGTTCAGAGATGATGAAGAGACCTGAAGCAGCAGTAATGTTGTTCTAATGAAAGGATGCTGAGAATGCCATGGACCGAACATGAGTGAAACGAGGCACTTCTGGAGACAATGGAAACAAAAAGGACTCTTCTAATTAAAATCAGAAAGAGACAGTTGAAAGTTTCTTGGGTTCATATAGGGATCGGTGGCTTGGAAAATTTGATACTCACAGGACAGTTTGATGGCCAAAAACAACGCATAATCTATCTAGCGATGTGGTGGAGAGCCATTATCGCCCATACCCAGAAAGAACACAAGAAGAAGAAGAAAAAGAATCAGCACATATGGACATATATAGAAATATTCCAGTTAATAATTTTATTCGAACTGCGTGCAGTCAAACGTCGTCAACTTTCGCTTACTCTGTACGTAGTTGTCATTAACATTTCTGGATTGCATAAAATTCTCCACCCGCCAAGAAACTTCTATCTTATTTGGAGAAAACTCTACTTGCTTATTTTAGTAGACAGTATGTCCCACACTTAGGCCTTGTGCCATATCTAAGCTACGCTTAGAAAATCACTATCTTGGTAGAGGGAGATCCAAGATATGAAAAAAAAAACCAAAAAAAAACGCCCACTCGAAAAGGCGATTGTTCTGGTAAACCTCATCTGCTATGAATTCTCTCGAATATGTCTGCGCCATTTTGGTTTCGTCAGATAAGGATACGATTCAGAAAATATTTGACTGCTGCTGCTTTGCCGAGTCACACGAGAGAAAATGGCGAGTCTGATACGTTCGATGAAAGAAAGTCTAAACACTTGAAATAGAAAGTATAAACACTTGAAACAGAAAAATTATAGACTCACAACAGTAAACTCTTGAAACAGGAAAATTAAACACTTGAAACAGAAAGTGTAAACAATTCAAATCACTTCATTGCAAGTTAACTTTCGTAAAAAAATGTAATTCTTTAATATTATGTCATCATTGCAGACATTGTTCGAAAATGGTTCTATTTCCTTTCTCGTCAGTTGATCGCTTCCCCTATCTATCTATCTCTCTCTCTCTCTCTCTCTCTCTCTCTCTCTGTATATATATATATATATATATATATATATATATATATATATATTATATCTTGATATGTGTCTCTCTGTCTCTGTCTTTCTTCTGAGCTGTCTCACTTCTCTTTCTATCTATATATTTATCTCTCTCGATATGTACATGAGCCTCTATCGATCTTTGTGCTGATCTCTCTCCCCATCCTTTATCTTTCTTTCTATCCCTCTCACTCACTTTAAATATATGTATATATATACACACGCAGACATACACAAACACGTAGACACACACGCGTAGACTATCTATCTATCTATCTATCTATAGATTTGATTATAGTGGTGAAGGCTTGGGCAGAACCAACCACACTTTGTGGAAGAGCCGAATACAGCAAACTATTACACGGTCCCCAAACAATACTCCTCGAGTTTTAATTTCAGGGTTAACCTTCTCCGGTTGCCCCCAAAGCTTTAGTTGTGGGAAATCAGGGAAGAGATGAATTCATAACTTGCCCCCCCCCAAGGGTATCTGAATGTAAATTAATATAATATATATATATATATATATATATATATATATATATATATATACCTGTACACACGCAGTATTCAGATCACCTGCTCCAATCTCGTATATCTACTTTTCTGTCTCAAATATGAACGAGAAAGGGAAATTATGTGGGTGAAACCGGAGCAGAGTTCCGTTTACGGTTCAATAACCACAAGAAAAGCAGCAGGGACAACAACAATTTTTTCTTGTCTATGCACACTTCAACCAACCTTCTCATAGCATCGACGATGTCGCTTGTGTGCTTCTAACGTTTGGCTTAGGTAGCTGGGAGGACAGACGCAGATCGGTGTTGAAATATATCCTAAAAGTAAATTCCCACAGAAAGGGTCTAAACAGAGATCTGGGTTTACTCAGAGAGTATAATTTCCACAAGGAAGTACCACTTCTCGAATAGGTACACCCTCCACACCCAATTTAACTCCAAATTTTAACAGCCATCAGCTACCTACTATATTTTCTACCTATGATTTCCCTCATGATGCACTATTCAGTAATGAAAGTATTGTCATATCCACTGAGGGATACATTCCAGTCACCCTCTTTTATACCATCTTTGGTTCAATAACTATAGTTCCTTTATATATAAGCTGATGGAAGGGGGATAGAATGTTAGTGTACATACATAGTAATCTTGTATATGTATTTATATCTTTACATGCATTGGGATTCATATGTTTGTGTAATGGCTGGTATATGTTTGAATACTGTTATGTGCACTGATGTATACATGCGTTTTTCCTTTGTTTTTTATTTTATTTTCTATAAACCCTTTTTTTAACAAGAGATTTCCAAATATTTTTACAAAAATTGTTATCCATTTTATTGTTAGGTCTATTTTTTTCTTTTCATTTTATTTCATTTAATAGTATTTTATAACTATATATACCATTTTTCCTCCTTTTTTTTCTCGTCACATGTTATTCTCACTACAGCTCGTCTTTCTGAAATTGACAATTTGGTCAAATATCGGCTACAACTGGTTACACGCGAGACGTCTTTCCCCGTCCGCAAGTCATAACTCCCTCCAACTTTGTTTACAATCTTACCCCAACTCATCCTAATCTTAATAATAAACCGGTCTAACGTTTTTACACCGATCAAAATTTTAAATTTAAGTTTATTTTCATAAAATGTTTCGCCCAGAGGGAATCAGAGATAGGGTTTTCGCTAACAATATGATTTCCACTAGAAAATACACCGTCTACAAAAACATCTGTCGGTGATTAATTCATATTTCTCTGTAACTCGGACTCAACTCTCGGATTAACAACTCCGACTATTAATTCGTTACACCAGCCGCGCATCCAACTTTACACTACCTGGTATTCCCAAGTTCTTGCTCATCTAAATATTGACCAGGTTCTACGTTGCTTAACTTCGGTGATCGGTGATTCAACCTGGTGTGGTCGTAAGCCACTAGAGTTTTGGGGGGTACCATTCGTGAATCCATGCATTAATTCTTAGTTAATGCCCGCTTTGAAGACTTGAATGCCTTTGCTTTGTCGAGACAAGTTCTGCAACCTTTGGCTGAAGGATTTATGACCAATGCTGAATTTGGGACATTTTGTTATGGGAAACAGATTCCACCCATTTTTTTACGCAGAGATCAGTCTAATAAGGCCCAAACATGTTCAATAGGGTTCAGAGACCGAATTGCCAATGGTAGAACTCGAACCCCATTTTGCTCCAGTCAAGCTTGTGTCACTTTTAAAGCATGGTACGAAGCATTGTCTTTTATTTCTAAAGGCACCCACCAAATTTGGTAACCAGGTATAATCAGGGAGAATGTTTTATATAAGGAATGCCTAAATTAATACTTAGCAGATGCTTACTTAACACCCTTGAGTTCTGTTGCTCTGTTGGGTATAGAAGCGACAAAATCTGCAATCTTCAACTGAAGAATTTCTCCCCAACTTGAATGCGGAACTTTAAGTAATTGTAATGGGGAGCAAGTTTCACATGTTTCTTACATAAAAATGTTTAATGATGCGTAAACATGTTTAATAGGATTCGTGTCCAGTAACAAATCGAATCTTGATAGAACGCGAACCACATTTTGCTCTTGCCAACCCCGTTTCACGGAGCGTCGTTTTGCATGAAATATCTGGATGCACTTGGCCGTCTGTTGACGGGAACGGATAGGGTCAACTCCTTATTATGGGATTATAATATATTTTGCATCAATAATATTTAGTGAATTTTATCATTATTAATTCACATCGTTTCGCAGGTCATCACTGAAAACCAACTGTTTGACAGTTGGTTGCAGGTGGCTCTTGGAATATTAACTGATCTTTCTGCAGGCCCAAGTATATCCACTTGCAGATAAATAGGCATATTAAACAAGATGATTACAGCTTACCAAAAGGCCTAACTCTTGGATATGCTATAAGTTCATTCCTTTTCTTAATGTTGACTGAGGTAAGCAAAGGCTTGCTCTGACAGCCAATTCTATGAATATCTCGCAGCTTTTCTGTGAAGTACAGTTAGTTCATGCTATATTAGAAGCTTTCTCTTTTATGGTTCTCTATGGAGACCACTGAACAGCTTGGGGACGCATCTCAGAGGGTCAGAGTTGCCTAGTGTTATATTCCATGCTATTAGGAATATATACTTGAAAAACCAGGTGGATAAGTGAAGGTTTATTGTACAAAACCAGTACAATAAGAATAAAGGTAACAGCTATGCACAAAGTCGCCGCAAGTCAATCCAGTAGTGACTGCTAGTATTTGAAGGTCGGTAGTTCCCGCGTAAGTCTGAATCGTACTCAACAGATCCCATCTAGTAATATTTAACAACCTCCCCACGGGGTAGGATGTAGCACAGGGCCAAATTTAATGTGGGGCAATCCTAGCCCGTAGGGTCGACCAAAATTTCCGCGTAAACCCCGTATAAACGGATTCGGGTCTGTCTACCTCCCCGGACGAGACGCTGCCTTCAAGCAGAGAATTTGACAACAACAAAGAGCTGAATAACAGATCCCAGCTAGTCGGTATTTACCTGCCTCGCCACAAGGAAGGATGTGGCACAAGTCCGAGTTTAGTAGGGTGCCTAGATGGGTTCGCGTCTGTCTACCTCCCCAGACAAGACCCTGCTCTTCGGTATAGCCTGGAAAGATGAAAATGGGGGTTTCAATTGACATTTGACATGTCTATATCTGAACCCATTTATGTACGAAGCATGTTGCAGATGTTCAACATAAATCGATAAAAAAAAACTTCCATTTGATTAAATAATACTTAAATTAAAGGTTAGTAAAACAAATTGCCCGTTCTAATTTAATTTGAAAAGTATTCATCAGAACTCGTAGATTATTGTTTCAGTTATAATCCATAAACCAGCACGAGACTCAGAATAATACTCACTTTTATCATCTATTTTCTTACTCATATTTCTTTTTTTTTTAAAAATGGCTACTCCTTAGGACAGACAGAGAAATTAAAGTGCTGTCAGTCAGTGAATTTTATGGAAATACTGCTTCTTTTGTAAGCATAGTAAGGAAATGGATAACAAGAGTTAATGCCAATCTGAGACAGTGAGAAGAAAAGGACGTTAGTGACAGGTCCTACAGTGGAAGTTCATCTACTGCTGTGAATAAGAACAAGACCCATATGTTGTTTTTTTTATAGGATGGAGAGGGGAGGAGAATTTAGATGAGGGGGAAGGAAAATCATCATCATCATCAGCATCAGCAGCAGCAGAAGAAGAAGAAGCAAACTTTATTCTTGTTCCTCTGCACTGGCAATAATACATGTCTATGTTGTATTTACTTTTATTCTCATTTTGATGTAATGTTTGTAATAAAATCAATTTTCGTTGATTCAATTCACTTCAATTTTTCATAAGAAGAAGAAATATTTGCAAGTTGTGGTAAAATGCTGGCAATTGTCCCCGTCTAAGATAAAAAATAAATAAATAAAACTGCCGTTAGCTTAACGGCGGTTTACCAAGGTAAGAGGAATCGACAAGCTCGGTTCAAATTTTGACCGAATTTTTTATGTTCATTTCGCATTAATACCACTAGAAAAGACATGGATCCAACGCTTCTCCTCCTCGCAATGGCTTAAACAGTAGACAAGTTTTCAGGCTTTGGATCATGGAAAGGACAACATTTAATCACAATCCGTAGAAAATATAACAGGAAAAGGCTTAAATATATTTCCGAGAATTCATAGCAATTCAGAGATATGAAAGAGGAAGATGTGAAGGACCATGACCATCTTCGCCCTAAAAGACATTTTTTAAAAGTCTGAGATAAGCTATATAATATATTAAATAAACTTAAATTAGTTTAGTAGAAACGAAAAACGAAGATTGTGTTACGTTATATTAAGGTCAGATCCGAATCGCAAGAGGTGTATGTGGTGTATTGTCAGTAGTAGTACCTTTTCAGTGAAGCGTTCTAACCTTCTTTATTCAAGCGAAAATGAGATACGGAACTGGACTGGTCCACGGACTAAATCCAATGCTCACAGATGGCGCCAAGAAGTTGCATGGTCATTGCGACGGCCACACCTCGGTCAATAGAACCGACATACCAGCTAAACTGTGTGAGAGTATTCAGAAGGGTTTCCGACCCGACCGGTAAAGGAGAAAGCTACCTGTACTATCGGCGATCGGCCAGTCGCTAGCTTGGGCGTAGGAGCTGCGCTTCAGAGGTCATCGGCTTTACCACTGCGCGGAGGAAATTTCTGACAGCAGGAACGCGGTAACCTCAACATCATCGATGAAAAAGAAACCGGCAAGCCATTGCAATA